AGCGTCTTTCTGATTACAGCTCAAAATAATAGGAAGATGCAGTTGGTAACCCGTCTGCCAAGTGTCGCAACAACGGCTAATGTCCAACTTATTTCTTAATCTATGGAGGGAATCGAAATAACGAACGGGAGTAGAAATATATTAGCAATGTAGAGGCGGCGATATAGAAACCTATACCTCATTTTGTCTCGTGGGTGTCGTAAAATGTGACACACTGAAACAGGATATGGGTGGCAGCATCTTCCTGATAACAGTGTAGAGTAATAAAAAGCTGCAGTTGCCAACCCACTCACCAAGCGTGGCTACTGCAAATATCCGGCCTATTTTACAACCAATGGGAGAAGCCTATGGTCAGCTGTGGATAGGCCTATTAAAAGTAAACAAGTAGTAGCTTACATACATCCCACTACTGGAGACAGACCGCAGCGAGTTTTAGGAGAAAAATGAGTTGATTGAGTTGTCTCTTGGGGTAAACCCGCGTTGGAGTGAACTCAATCCAATTAAAATATGAGTGGTGTTGGTGCGGTTCGAATTTGGGTTGTTTACGTACTATGAAATTTACGTTTGGATCGGTTCGATTACCGAATAATTTTTTAAAGAAAGAAGAGAAAGAAGAAAGAAAGACTTGATGACTTGATTGACTTGATGCTAAATAATTAAGTTTAAGTCAGCATATTATGTGCAAGACACAGTCTAAGTAAGTAGTTAGGTATGTGAGTAGGTAGTTGGTATAGTAAGAATATAAAGACTAAGAAAGTAAGTTAACAACTTAGTTAAAGTCAATAGTAGAAAAGTAAGAACTAGGCAGGTAGGTATGTTATTGTTAAGTAAGTAGATATAGTAGGTAATTATAATTTAGATATGAAAAAGCTTTTGAGTTTAATTTTATTGTTTTTTTTGTGATAGTTTTTCGCGTAATTCGAAAGGTAAGTTACCTGATAAGCGGCCGTCCGCTGGCCGTACACATTATTAGCAGTGATGTACCGGAGCCGGTTTTGTGTCATAGCGCGCGTATGTACAGGTTGATCTATGTACGACTTTATATTATCACAAAAGAAATATTGCTTTAATAACATAAATTTAATTTGGTCATAAACTGGTAAGATATTAAAATGTTTAAAAATCTCATTTTCACCATCATCAATTAGGACACGCATATTTGGGGATACAATATTTTTAAGAATTCTAAGTTGAAGATCATAGATCTGTTTTAAATATGATTTGTACGTCCGACCATAGCTTGACAAGCCATATTGAATATAGGATTCAGCAGCAGTGTTGTAAAGCATCAGTCTTACTTTGAATGGTATGCGATTTTTTAAGATTTTTATACTGGCCAGAAACTGACGCAACTAATTACACACATGTTCAATGTGGTAGCTCCAGTTAAACTTTGAGTCAAATATAAGACCGAGGTATTTTTGTGTGGTCACAACTTCGATTGTAGGACATTGGCAAGTTCCTAGTTGATGTAGGAAGTCGTGATTATGAACAATTAATGGGTTTGGAGTAGGATACCTCATGTATGGGGATTTGATAATCATGACTTTCGTATCAACGTATCCAAATCGGCCTGAAGAGCATTACACGCATTTGAGATATCCATATCCGATACGAGATGACACGTATCGTCTGCGAATTGGTAACAGAAACTGTATTTCAGACAGTTATCCATCTCGTTGATATAAGATAAAAAGTGCAACGGGCCAAGGACTGATCCTTGGGCCATCCCTTCTGTCACAATCTTAGGGTCGCTGAACGAGTTATTTAATTTAACCGTAAATGTACGATTTTGGAGGTAATTTCTACACCAATTGAGCAAAGAACCTCGATCCACTCGAATCATCCAGTTTATTGATTAAGAGTTGATGTTGTAGTTTGTCGAAAGCACGAGAAAAATCAATAAACAAGGCCAGTACACATTTTTTATGGTTCAAATGCTTGTTTACCTCATCTGTAAACTTACATAGTAGGTCCGTAGTACTTTTACCCGCTTGAAATCCGTACTGGTTTTTGTTTATGACTTCGTGCTTTCGGTAAAAATTATGAATCTGTTCACTGATAACTTTTTCAACTATTTTATCAACACTAGAAAGCAGACCGATTGGTCGATAGTTGGAGTAATCGTCGTGTTTGCGCTTTTTGAGAACAGGCTTCACACAGCCTATTTTGAGGTCGTGGGGGTATTCTGCAGACGCAATACCGCGGTTAATTAAATTGGCAATTGGGTAAGGATATATGTTTATTAACAACTTTTAGATCACCTACTCTAATACCGTCAGGTCCAGGAACGTTATGTGAGTTTAGTCTCTTAATGATTTTGTTTACATTGTCCTGAGAAACTTTTTGGAACAGAATACTAGAATCCACCAGTCTCCGATAAGTTAGAGAATTGGTTAATTTTAAGTTGCATCGAGGAAAAATGTTTTTACTGCCTTTTCAAAGCTATTTGCGAAGTTGTTAGCTATCGCTGTGGTGGTAAGGCCCTGTCCGTCAAAAGCCTTCAGTATCGCCTCTGTATAATGTAATTCATTCTAACATCTGGTTAATGATTTTATAAACTTTTTTTGTATCTTTAAAGTTATTGTGTATTACATTAAGATTGTATGTATTTCGTTTTGATTCAATTAGTTTATGGAGTTTATTTCTAGTTTTATTATACTCTAGTCTAATTTTAGGATCAAAAGAGCTATTTTTCCAAAGCTAAAACAAGTGATCTCTTTTTTCACATAATCGGGTGACATTACCATTGATCCAGAGTCTATCAATGCAGTTTTACTCATAGTTAAAATAAAAATAAACTTGCGTTTATTTGCTTTTTTTAATATTTATAGTACTTTTTCGCAAGAATTCATTTACTTATGTCAGCCATGAAACCAAGACTGTCACAAAAATCTCAAAAGGTCTCAGAAAATCTTAATATATGACAAACTGTTTTACGAGTCTCATTAAAAGTAAAAAAGTAAAAAAGCAACTTACATACGTTTTACGACTGTGCACAGCGTACGGCTGTTAATTACCCATGTGCAAAATAGTGCTTTCACATGTCCGCGACTTTTTTTTAAACTACTTAGATATCAAGGTTTCGCCACAATGTTATTCTTTACCACTTCACTGAACACGTGGAAAATAAGCAAATAAAATTTCCTTACCAATTTAATTGGTCCTTGCGGGAATCAAACACTTTGAAATCTTACGGCTACACGGCTCTCGTATGTGCTTAAATAAAACTCATAAAAACTGAAAAGAATCTTTTGCCGTATTGTGGACCCCATCTACCTTGTAATTAGTCATTCAAACTATTCCATTATTTAGAGATGAAAATCTTACAGTCCACTTAATTTTTAAATTCCTTACATCGATCATGATACAAAACAACTTGGTGAAATATTGCTATACTGATAGATACCCAACATATTCATATAAGACATTCTGTCTTAATCACAGTTTTCTGTACACAGTTCTGTTAGTCATTTTGCTAATAGTGACAATAATGTTAAATCGTCCCGACACCGGTTTTGATATTTTAAGTCGCAAAAATTTTTGATGCTGGAAGAATAAGTATTCAATAGAATTCTCTTTCATTTCATTATTTACTTATTATTACTTTATTTAGCAGTTAGTAGATAGCGCAACTGTTATGAGATAAAAACTATTAAAACAGAAACTGTACATTCTAGTACTCAGCGACAATAAGTTGAGGTGCGACTGGAGTGGCCCAATCGAACGACCAAGGCGCCAATATTTATATAATACATGAATTAGGCATAAAGGGATGTAGATTCTATTAAAAACTCCGCTTCTGTTAAAATACGCTATCAGCGCTGCTAGTGGTATTGGTATGTTATGAAATTATTTTACGATAAACAATATGAAGAAATAGCAATGTTGTGTTTAGTTGTTAGAATCGCCAAACGATCTCTATTCATTGAGTTGGTCAAGCTATGTCATGATATAGTCAAAAAACAAAGTTAAATTTAATTAAATGCCATAATTTCGTGCCATAATAGACTACTTTATTATATTATTAATTCTAAGATCTGGCCAATTTAATATATCTTTATTTAAACTACACGGATAGTGAGATTTTTGCAATTTAACTACAGTTTTTATCAGTTTATTTATAGATAAACAAAACTTTTTATAGATTAGAAATTAAACTTAGAAACATCTCACATTTTATGATTTTCGATAAATCACTATTATCTACCATTTAAGTAGTAATTAGTTACTATAAACTTTATTAATTCCTACTAAAATGAAATAACGAAAGAAGTGAAAAATTAACGGTAGAATTTTAAAATAATTATGAATTAAATTATTTAAACATATAAATGTAAGTTATTTATTTTATTTTATTTATTAGTAATTGGAGGTAAAATGTTACTACTTTTTGAGTTTCACGTTAGATGGCACCTTTTTGATAAAGGTGAAACGTGGATTTTCCATAGACTTACAATATATTGGCGTATAGGCCGACATAGTGTGCAAGGGAGAATAAAATTCCTTATGGCAAAAATGCAAGATAGAAAAGGATACCAAATCTCATGACTCCGACCGACTGTAACCGATTTTGAATGACAGATCGGCATAAGTCGGCATGAAAGAAATAAGCTCCCAGATATTATGTAATTTTTAGATTGTAATACTCGTAGTAGTTATTTTTAGTAAGTAAATTTTTTCAAAAATGATTATTTGTTCTGTGAGTGACTGTGGTGTTAACAGCTTCACTGCCCGTCAAGATGAGTGAAGAGAGTGCACATAGCCTACGAAATTTTATGTTTTGCCAGGTTTTGAAACTGTTAAATAATACTAATTATATATATTTGTATACTGCTTATAGTAATTTAGTGTATATAAAGGGGACATAAAAAAATTCCGCACCGGTGCGTAACGGGCCCCCGGAATGAAAATTTCATCCTTAGGGCCCCTTTACGCACAGGTGCGAAGAGTAGGTTTTTGGTATTTAACATTTATTAATAATAGAAAAAATCAAAAAATCAATTTCCAATCTCCCTGTGATAGTTGTCAAAACATTCGACACAAAGCCCGGGTTTATTCTCGCATGTTATGCAGTGCCACGGGGAATCGGTACGCTTCTTATTTTTGTAGCATTGACGACAAATCTTTCTCTGTACTCTACCCTTTTTCGTCAAGTCCGTGATTTTTGTAATCCGATGCTGTGATGGTGATCCACCTGCTGTTGAAATTGGCAGCAGTTCGGATGGTTTTTGTGGCAGCAAGGAATTTATTACTCTTATACGATAATCATACAGATTCAGTTTGTTTTGGCCTGAATATTTGTTATATATTTTATACGAGTTGATGAATAGCATTTGAAATATATGTACGGCAATTTTCATGTACCAGCGAAGGGTTTTTCTCTCGCATGGATAGAATGCTAGAAGCTGGTCTTGCCTATCTACTCCAGACATGTATGTATTGTATTTAGCTATACTTTCAGGTTTCTGAGTAATCTGTCTCCGTCTGTTGGTAACTGGCACCATATTATTAGCATACTGATTGGTTATGTATGTAACCGGACGTTTATCTTTCCATTTTCCTATGTGAATTCCGTCTCGAAACAATGATATGTTTTCCCCCTTTTTCAATACTTTTTGTGTCACTTCTTTAGGATTGTCTCGTAAATCTTTACGTAAAGTGCCTGTACAGTATGTATTTTTCTCGAGCAGCTTTTTTGCCAGTATATAACTGTTGTAATAATTGTCCATATAAACTTCATGTCCATTTCCCAGTTTTTCTTCTAGAAGATGCATGACAACTTTCTCCGCGTGTCCTTTTCCAGTAATCTGTGTGTCTTTACCACCAGCATACACACGAAACTTTAGAATCAATCCATCGGGTTCAGTGAGCATGTATAACTTGATTCCATATTTATGGCGTTTGTTTTTTATATACTGTTTGAAGCTGAGACGTCCTCGCCATAGCACCATGCTCTCGTCTAGCGATAATTCCTTGCCAGGATAGTAGCAACCATTCATTTTAATATTGAAATAATCAATCACTTGGCGTACTTTGAACAAGGGATCCTCACTTTCTGTTTCTGAGGTAAAATGCATACATCTCATAATTAGAAGGAATCTGTTTCTGCCCATTTGCTGTCCGAATATAGGAAAGTTAAAAAGCCTGTCCTTCTTCCAGTAATCTTGTACTCTATTCATAGAAACAGTTCCCATGTGAAACAGTAAACCAAAAAATGTTTTTAGCTCTGGGACAGTGAGCTCTTTCCATCGGGTAATCCTAGCATATTCAGAACCAGTCGACAAAAACAACCTTTCTGCTTGCGCGTTTGTTTCGTTACAGATCATAGTAAGAAACTGTTGGTCGAAAAAAAAGTCAAAAAAATCAGTTGGCTCTGTTCCATTGATTTCTCCAAGAAACCGATTAGTTTTTGTAAAATTAAATTGTCTCATATCACCTTCAGAAGTCCAGTGAGAAGTAGACTCTTCAGCAGAGAGTTTATCAGGTGTCTGATCATCATCTTGATGATGAGGTGGCGATTGCGAGGGTGAGGATCGTGGCAGTTTTTGTACAGGGCTACGTAAACTGATATCAGTTACAGAAAATGACGTAGGCGGCTGGCAATCATCCTCCGACGATAACTCCTCTTCATCATAGTCAGGACAATAAATTTCATCACTGTCACTTTCGGCGAATAATTCTCTTTCCAAATCACTGTCGTTTTCAACATAATTCATTACAAACTTCCTTTTTCTTGTACGTGAAGGACCCGCTATACTATCCATAATAATGTGCAGGTATAAACCAAACAATAACAGGTAATACAAAACCGCTTTCACGTAAAAAATTGCCGGAAATTCACTCACAAGACCAACCTACAAACGACACTCTACGCGCAAAGCCCGCGGCTTAGTGGCCTTTGTAATTTGTATACCTAGCTTTCCGCACCGGTGCGAGAAGCGCCCTCCACGCTCACCCCCGCATTACGCACCGGTGCGAAATGGGCAGTCAAGCTGTTAATCATAAAATAATTCAAAATCGTGCACTAAACAATTTTTTTAAATATTTTTACCGCTTCCTTAACAATCATTCTTCGATAGTCCTTGTAAGTAAAATTTACATCACTAGCTAACGCATACAATGACGAATCAAAATTAGTCACGCATTTTCGGGATGTCTATGGATTTTGCGGCGTAGTTCAAATTATTACGCAACGGTTAAAACTAATTTAAGCCTTATTTATAAATATGTTCTTTAAAAAAAACATTCAATAATCAAATATATAAAATAGAAATTAACATCTTGAAGAAGGAAAATACTTAACCCTCTTTTTTGAAGTTCCGCAATCGAACAAAAAGTAGCATATAAGTTGCCCCGGGTACCTAACTACCTACACACAAAATTTTATGGAAATCTGTTAAGTAGTTTTTGCGTGAATCGGGAATACATAGATAGACAGACAAAAATTCTAAAAATCACTAATTTGGCTTCAGTGCCCTATATTTTGTCCCCTGGAATTGTTTTTTCCAGAAAATATTAGCATTACAGACACGAATTTTCTACAGATTTATTAGATATATGTATAGATTATTTTAAAAGTGCCTAGTAATAATTTAATACATATTACAAGGCAGTTTATTGCCATTACTCGAATAAAAATAAGCTTCAAAAAGTTTATAGCGACTTCAAAAACTAAAAATAAAGAATAATTTCTTCACAATAGCTTCTGACTTCACATGTCTTCGAAATAATTTTTATTTTCTCAGATGTTTCCTTCCTACCGCCGAACACATGGTAAATTATTAATTAAGTTTTAATAAATAAAAAAAATGTTAATAAATTTTAATAAAAATGAATAGATACAACGAATAAGAAAAAAAAAATGAATGAAATTAAATTTATTGCGAGCTCTTAGCTCTTGAGCTACTATGACTCAAAAGCTAAGATATAATAAATCAAAGAAGCTGCCGAATTCAGAAGCTATTATGTGGAAATTAATTTATTCTTTTTTAGTTCTTGAAATCGGCTTTATTTTATCTAAGTTTATTTTTAGCCTTTCCATTAAAATAAGGAATATCGCAAATTCAAGGTAACAACTACAATGTCGCATAAATAGTTACATTAAAATTTTTATCCCCAAATTTTTCACCATTAGGAAAATTTTTAAAATCGGTCTGCTCAGTGTTTACTATATAGAGCGCTCTTGTAGAGCGCGTTAATTTATACTTCAAATCCCATTAAGTCTTTGTAACATCAGTGCTTTGATGTTAATTAAAGCATCAACACGTAAGAATATTCTCCTTGTTTATGTTAATTACGCTAGAGGAATTCAAAATGAGTAGCACCCCTGTACCACGATTGACCACAATTTTCGCTAACTATTAGTACATTTATAATGTTCGAGATCCATTGCTTTGTTAATAGAAAACTACTTTTATCAACCTGTTATTAGAGAGCAATGGTTTAGATGATGTTAAATTTATATGGGAAACACACAAACTGTTGGGATTTTTTAGCTTTTCATAGCGATATCTGTTGTTAGAATTCAAGCTACGATGTGCTAGACGTTCGCCGTAAATAGTGAGTGCACGGGTTTAGCATAAATTTAATTTTCAGTATAACGTAAGTACTAACGAGCTTTTGGAATGGTTCGAGCTATTTTTTTATAAGTAATTGTCTGGGATCATAATGTTGGACTTGACTACACTAAATGTTTGAATTTATCGGAAAATTGGATTAGTTTTTGTTCTAGCTTTTAATGTACACGTGAGTTTCATATAAAAATGTAATCGTTATATATAACAATAAATTAGATTAGAGTGCACGCTTAATGAGTGTTTCATTTAATTTTGATAAAAAAATTACCAAAATAAATCGATTACACAAACTAGATTAGCCGAAGTTTATAGGAGTCCTAAACAATCGGTGAATAGGTCTATTGTGTAGTGCTTACCAAGTATATCCTCCATAACATGCAGAGCAAGATAGGTTCATTCGCGTGACCGGCAGCACCAGTAGGCGCGGGCGGCGGCGTGGCACCACCAGCCCTGTTGAATTCCAAGAGATCGTGGCAATTAAGATACGAAATCAGTCTAGTGTCTACGGCTGTCGATCGTCAGGTGTAATGTCGAAAGATACTGTACTATCAAAAGCTTCGCTCTTCTAAACTTCAGGGTTTCTAATTCGACCATACCAGAAACGAATTGCGAGGCTTTAGCCATATTCAAGCTTGCTGTGGACATTTGTAAAAATAATACTCAAACTGCATTCTGAGCCAACTTGCATATATTTATTGTGTGCATGAAAATCTAGTTAAATATATAATATTATGCCTAAATCTTTAATGTCATATTATAGTCTTACTTCTTGAGTTTTATCGTGTAACGGAAGCAAATTTTTTTAGTAATTTGTCATCGTCAACCAGAACTAAAGCCTTTTTAAATTAAAATTAGACTGCATCCACCCGCCTATCATTATCTATTTGTGATTGTACATAGTCTACATGCACGACTAATTTTGTAGTTCTGAAACGGGCTCAGCGGAAGCCGTGTTGACTATTGTGCAGCAAATGACCGATCTGGTTGTTAATGTGTTTGTTTAAAATTGCCTCAAATATCTTTGCGAAAACTGACAGAACCGCGATAGGTCTAAACGTGGAAACGTTTGTTCCTTCATCTCCTTTCGCGACTATAGTAATTCTAGACAATTTCCAGTGTTTGGGATATCTTGACATTGCAAGAGAATGTTAAAAAAATGTAAGAGGGGTGTAAATATGGCCGATTGATAATTATACAGTCCTTAATTAGAAATACGGGGATACCATTAGGCCCACGAAATGACCACAGTTAAAGCCTCTAACTGCCTTCTTCAAATCTGCTTTCTCGACCATTACAATGAAGACACAGGTTGCATATTAACGTGCTTGCGCAGTCTGGGCAACCCGCAGCGGGTCCAGTAGAAGTTCAACAGATTTATATCCTCGTGAAACACGGAAGCAAAATATCTGACCAAAGCACCAAATACTTCCTGACCCTCCAGCTCAATGTTTTTATACATCTAAGTGTCTAATCTAAAAAGTGTCAAATCTAATCTAATAAAATCCTTTATTCCTTTTTTATCTTTAATATATTGCCAGAAATTTGTCAGATCATCAATGATGTTCTTTTGCACTAATTTTATTTTTGCAAAAGATACGGTGTCTCCACCGCTCCAAAGCTCGCAACAGCGTTGATCCAGGCGCCGCTGTACCTCTAAATGCGCCAGGAAGTGAAGTGAATTTACGCCATACCTTTTACCAACCTTTATCTGACTTCGCAGCTTAGGTTAGACAAATCAGGGCCTGATAGGTATTGATTTATTTTAAGTAGTTTATCATTGAATATTTCAATCATCAATCATAATTAATCCTATTGTGTGAATTTTCAGATATGGATTGGATGAGATAGGCCAAGCCAAATTAAACTTTAAATCTATCTTCATTAAAAAGTGAAACACTTAAAAAATTGAGATAGACACTATTGATTCTTAACCATCGATTTATTTTCTCTTTAATGTAATACTTGAAGAGCAAATAAAAGTGAATATAAAATCAAGCCATTGTTTATATATAGCGTAAATTAAGAGCTAACGTTAATGACTGAAGTATGAGTGAAAGTTATTTTGGTCCAAGTATTTACCTAAAATATAATTTAATTTTCTTTGGAGTAGTATATTATAGAAGAAGGAAGGAAATTAAAAACGTAATCGAAGCGAGAAATTCTTGTATAATATAGTAAAAAACCCTGTGATCGGACAGGGTTTTTTAATATATTGATTTTACTATATATTTATTATTTATTACCAGATTTAAAAAAAGTTAATATATGTTTTTATATATAAACAAAACCCTATAATCCTTAAACTTACAAAATTTTTATTTTATCTCAATATCCTAAAAGCCTACAGTACAGTGTACAGATCAATTTTAATTAACGCGAACACACACTTAGGCGCGGCTTCATGTATCAAATATCATACTCGTATTACACAAAGCTTGTTTGTTTTTCACTTACATTGTTAACTTAAATCTGAATTTGAAAATTACCTTTTGTTTGAAAAGAAACTTGTGCATGATATGAACTCGTATACTTACGTAAAGCAAATATTTTATGGGAGTCTTTATAAAGGTCCTATTGTGTGCGACTCATATTATGTAATTTTCTTTAAAAATATGATTTTGTATATAAACTATGTAACCACATTTTTTAAAATAAGTATGTGACATATGATTACAACGTCTACCTGATGGTAAGTGTAAATCCATATACATTTTTATCCTGAGGACTACGATGGAATGCTTCATTCCCTGTATAACACAATGACGACAGTAAAGTTGTGGAGTTGAACTAGTGGAGAAAATTCGCCATCATCATAATCATTACAGCGATTCACAAGTCCATTGCTGAACATAGGCCTCTCCCAAAGAATGCCACAAAGCATGTCCCTGAGCCACCTGCATCCATCGACTTCTAGCATCTCTTACCAAGTCATGGTTAATATGGGAGAGTTAGGTGGGAATTCGGTCCACAAGAGAAGCTATTGTGAGCTATATTTTATCAAATAGTTTTAATTTGCTTAATATTAGCTGCAAATTCACTTACTTGTGGAATGTTATCCCACTTTCCTTTTGGTAACGAGTTTTACATTTTACGCACACTCATTATTACTAAAATAATTCCTATTATGTGACTAAAATAAAACATAACCGAACCACATAAAATACTTTCATTTTTAGTTTAAAAATTCA